TATAAATATAGAAGACATTTTTGTACAGCTGTACAATGTGTGTGTGTTTTAAGCTAGGTGTTATTACCAAAGAGTCAAAAGGTTAAAAAAATTTTTTTAAGTTTATAAAGTAAAAAACTTACTGTAGTAAGCTACGGTTAATTTATTGTTGAAGAAAGAAAAATATTTCTTGGATTGCCTGAGCCTGCAGGTTCGAGACCCACCTGGGCAACTTGGCGAGACCTCATCTCTACAATAAATCAAAAATTAGCCGGGCGTGGTAGCATCCGCCTGTAGTTCCAGCTACTCGGAAGGCTGAGGCGAAAGGATCGCCGGAGCCCAGGAGGTTGAGGCTGCGGTGGCCGGGAGCGGCCACTGCACTCCAGTCTGGGCAACAGAGTGAGACTCCAACTCAAAAAAAAAAAAAAAAAGAAAAATATTTCTGTATACATTTAGTGTAGACTGAGTGTAGTGTTTATAAAGTAGTGTTCAGTAGTGTTCTAGGCCTTCACATTCACTCACCACTTACTCATTGACTCACCTAAAGCCAGAGCAATTTCCAGCCCTGCCCTACACAGGTGTGCTGTTTGTACTGTACCCTTTCTATTTTGATATGTTTAGATACACACATGAGCCTAGGCCTGTTATAATTGCCTATAGTATTCAGTATAGTAACATGATGAATAGGCTTGTAACCCAGGAGCAATAGGCTATACCATATAGCTTAGGAGTAAGCTGTACCATCTAGGTTTGTGTAAGTCTACCCTTTGATGTTCACACAATGACAAAATCACCTAATGCTGCATTTCTCAGAATGTATCATCATTAAGTGATACATGACTATATTTGCTCTTAGTGTCTCAGTGAAATCAAAGCTCCATCAAGGGATGGGATGTCTGTTTGGGCCACTGATACATCTCCAACACCTAGAATAGTCCCTAACACACAGAAGGTGCTCAGTAAGTACCGGTTTCACAAAGCAATTATATATCTATGCTTAAAGAAGTTCTTTTTCAGAACACATTGGAGAGGGGTGGGGAATGTGTCTGGGTCACTGATGACTGTAAAGCTTAGATGCATCTGTGCATCACTGTGATCTAGTGAATGATGTTAAGAGTCATGAAGATTAATCCAGATTCTGAATCAGGGTAAACACTAACTTAGAAGTAGTCAATAAATTACTGTTAAGAGAATAAGCCAGCTAGGCAGTCAATCAAGTACTAAGTAAGGTGTGAGGATGCACACGAATGAAACCCTTGAGTTGGGTTAAGAAGAGGAACCTGTAAGAAGTGGCAGAGAAAGCACAAGGGCTTAAGTGTTTAATTTCTATAACAATTTCAGGAACTTGGTCACTGACAGCAGCACTAAGTCTTGTTAACTTTATACAGTTAAGAAGAAAAAATATATTCTCTGGCAGAGACCACTGTAATTAATCCAATAACTATGAATAAGCAAAAAGATGGAGAATGTGCTCTAAGATCATCAAACTGGACACGTAACAGTGGCAGGGCAAGTGGGGTTCTAGATGTTTCTCAAAATCAAGAACAGGCAGAAGTTAATACAACATTGAATGATACAGCCCAGCAGAGAAGGGTGTTGAGTAAGAAAGGAAGAAAGTTAGTTAATATGATGCTGTAATTTGTTAGTTGATAATTAACTAGTATATAATAATGTCTACCTAATATATGAGGGGGATCAAAAGTAATGGTATTTATTTATAAAAAATTGTATATTTATTCTTGCATGTTTAAACTTCAGTCACTTTCAAAATACTCTCCGTTTGATGCAATACACCTATCAAGACACTTTTTCCACTGCTCAAAACAGTTTTTGAACTTGTCAATTTTGATGCTTTTAGTGCTTCTGCTGTTTTTTGTATCACCTCTTCCACACAGGCAAAACGTATCCTCTGAGGACTATTTTTTATCGGGGAAACAAAAAAAAAAGTTGTTCAGGGTGAGATAGGTGAATAGAGAGGGTAGGGTATGGAGGTTATGGCGTTTTTTGGTCAAAAACTGTTGAACACTCAGCAGGGTGTTGGCAGGTGCAATGTCATGGTAGAAGAACAAGTCACCTGTTTGCCACAACTCAGGATGTTTCTTCTGCAGATCATGAAGCAACCTTCTCAAAACACTCAGATAAAAACTTTGGTTGACCATTTGATATAAAGGAACAAATTGTACTAAAAGGGGCCCACCCTCCAAAAGATAATTCCATTTTTATTTGGGTCCCCTTTCATAGTATATATTTAATAAAACAAAATAGTTTTGTATTTATTTTATTCTGACACAAATTTCTTAACAGAGATTGCTTTGCGGTAACATTCAGATCTAATGATTTAAATTTCTATACATTTAAGAAAAGGAAAAATAAAAGCTCACCATAAATATCACTAACATATATTCCAAGGATTTAAAAATACTTCCAACCAAGAGAAAGTTTCTTTTTTTTTTTTTGAGTCAGAGTCTCACTCTGTCACCCAAGCTGGAGTGCCATGGCATGTTGCTCACGGCCACTGCAGCCTCAACCTCCTGGGCTCAGGCGATCCTTCCACCTCAGCCTTCCAAGCAGCTAGAACCACAGGCATGAGCCACTGCACCTGGGTAATTTTTTTATTTATTGCAGAAACAAGGTCTCGTCAAGTTGTCCATGCTGGTCTCAAAGCCCTGGGCTCAGGAAATCCTCTCACCTCCACCTCCCAAAGTGCTGGGATTACAGGTGTGAGCCACCACGCCCAGCTCAAGAACAAGTATTGACCTGAATTTTTAAAATCACAGAAGTAACAAAAACTTATAGTAGCAAGGGAAGTCAAGATGTGAAAGCAGTTGTGTGCTTTTTGTGAGAGGCCAAATATATGAAGGCCGTGGGGACAGATGCTGTAACTCAGAGAGGGTCTGCAAGGAGCCCAGAAAATAAAAGCTCTCCTCCCATACACACCAGGAAGGCTTCCCCCACTGCACTGACTTCTCCATTTCACAAAGAGGAGGAATACCTGTTGAAGGTCCCATAGCCATCTTCTGATTCCTGGACTAGTGATGCCAATGCCACCAAATCTCACTGAGGTACTTATGGAAATGTGTGCTTACTGGTTTATGTTGTGTCATATCACATCATATAAAGGATAACATTTTTACATGCTCCCTTACATATGGCCATTCTCTGTGGATTCATTTTCAGCATGACAGGTGCCTTGTTTTCTCAGGGGTGACCTGTCTACCCTCAGACACATTTAGGAGAGGGAATGTTTGAGGGCAGGGATCTGAAGCAACGGTACACAGGATAGAAACTAGTCCACAGAGGCTTCACTTTCCTCAGAGTCAAGTATCATGGTAAGTAAAAAGCTATGTGAGAATTTAGAAAAGGTTTTTCTATTTTCCAGAAGATCTTATGATGCTGTCACAACAATGCCAGTTTACCAAGAGACTCTATGCTCTTGGAGACTTACAACTTGTGCAATCATGCTGCACCCAGAAACCATCTGTCTCACTGGGCTCACTATATACTTTTCCTCCTCCTCTGAGCATTAGTGTAAGGCTGAGGTATATGTGGATAAACAAAAGTCTGACTATACAACTCACCTTCTGGTTTTCATTTTCCTTACTCATGCCAACAAGACAAAAATAAAAGGTTTCAAAATTAAAGATCAGATCAATTTTGAAATAGCTGCTTTTCCCATTATGGTAAGAGACTGTCTTTGTATATTTTAAAGTCAAAAAAACCCACATAACTTAATATGTAAAAATACCTCTAAAGAAATAGGAAAAACCTGTGATAAAAATCTGGGTGGGGAAGGAAGGAACAGGGAGTTGATGATCAAAGGGTACAATGTTTCAGATGAAATGGAGGAATAAGTTTTGAGATCTTTTGCACAGCATGGTGACTACAGTCTACAATAATGTATTATATATTTCAAAGTAACTATCTAAATTTCAAATATCTTGTCACCAAAAACAGTAGGTAAGCACAGGGATGGATATGTTGATTAGCTTGATTTAATCATTCCACATTGTATACATTTATCAAAACATCACATTGTATCCTATAAATGCATTAAAAAATTATGATTTGTCAGTTAAACATAATATTAATTTAAAAATTGTGATTCAAAAAAACATGGAGTGAATATTCATCAGAAGATCAAAAATTTAAGGTAATAATTTCCCAGTTTTTGATCAGTTATATCTTATTTTGTTCTCTGAAGTTACCTATTTCACAAAAAAGCATAATAAATTTTGAATAATGTTCTTCAATCAATAAGCCATTTATGTATTGATGTAATTCCACTGAAAGTTTTTAGATTAATTTAAAATGGTTTCTTAATCAAATACTGTTCATCAAATCTTATTTTGTTTAAGTAATTCCAATGTCAGTTCACATTATCTAATAAAACTACATAAATCAAAATCACCACAGATTTTAATTCTCTCCTATTCATTTAGTACTGAGAAAATATACTTCTCTTAAGTAGTTTGTGCAAATGTCAAAAGTTGGTAGAGGAAAAAGAACTCAAATGTAGAATAAATTGGCCAGTGCAATAATATTAAATAAAAGCATTGCTTATATTTAATCTATAACACTGACCAGTTGTAAAAGTGACTTTTGCTGTTATACTTAGAGTTCTTTGTGATATAACTGGGTTCTTAGTCATGTGAAAAACAAAACAGAAGTAAGACCTTTTGTTTTGTAACCAAAAGAGAATATTCAAAATGCACAAACATACTGATTTTATGTCTCTTTCATGAATTCCTTGGATTCTAACCTTGCCTCTTTTAAAATTAGAATAGTTTTATATTTCCTGAAAGTTGCAAAGACAGTATTGAGAATTCCTTGTGTACCCTTCACGCAGTTCCCTCTTATGTTAATACCTTCCGTAATCATGGTACATTTGTTAAAACCAAGAAGTTAAATGGGGACAACACTAAGCTACAGACTTTATCCTGATTTCACCAGTTTTGCCACATATGTCCTTTTTCTATTCTGGGATCCCATCCAGCACCCCACGTTGCACTTAGAAGCCTTACCTTTTGATCTGTCTCTTCATCTTCATCTTGATAATCATCACAGAGTGAGCTGGAGTTGGCTGCAAAGGTGGGTCCCTGAGAGTAGTACTGAGAACTCCGGTAGCCATCCCGCCGCAATTTGTCACACTCTGCACAGGAGGTAGGTGGGGAGGGAAGGAGGGGTATTAACAACCCGAATTTTTTTTTTTTTTTGAGTTGGAGTCTCACTCCATCACACGCTCATAGCCACACCAGCGTTGATCTGCTGGACTCGGGCTATCCTTCCGCTTCAACCTTCCAAGTAGCTGGAACTACAGACATGCACTACCACGCCAGGCTAATTTTTGATTTACTGCAGAGGCGAGGTCGCGCCAAGTTGCAGGCTGGTCTTGAACCCATGAGCTCAGGCAATCTACTTCCCTCGGCCTCCCAAAGTGCTGGGATTACAGGCTGAGCCACTGAGCCTGACGAACAACCAGAATTTTTATTCCTCTGTGCTTACTGTTTTTAGTATATTTCAGCAAAACAACTCCTATTTCAGAATAGGATTTTAAAATAACAATATTAATAATGAAAATGATTTTTTTAAAAAACCTAAAGCACCTACTACACACCACATGCTACATCAATACACTTTAAATGAGTTGTCTTCAGAGCTCACAACAACCCTATGAGGTAGACACTTATCAGCAATTCTACTTTATTCAGAAAACTGAAGTTTAGGGTAATTGTAGTGTTTGCTCTATAATGTTATGCAAGTAAGCAGTGGACTCAATATTAACCCATGGCCTTAATTACTATAATTTTTGACACAAAACATTTGATTATGTTATTCTATATTAAAAAATAAAAAAAAACAAGCAATTCTCATGCATCCTGAACCCATCCATTGGAAGTAACACAAGAGATCATGGATTATAATGCTCTCATTTTATTTTTAGTTCTCAATTCAATTTTGATGCCAAACAGACTGTAAACGCTGTGTGGAATTTAATATGAAGCCAGGTGCCAGCCTGAGTCATCTGCCAGTCCACAGAGGAATGCCTGGCACCTCTTGAGTGGAAGGTACCCAGGGTCATGGTGCCCTGGATCAAGGCGGACTGGGCCCACTGACAGTGTGGTGACTGGGATTCTCTTCAAGGAAAAGTGCTGCACTGCTGACTCTCATCAGTGCGGCTATGCCTTTAAAAATGGCTTTTTGTGGGGACCAAAGGGAAGCCCAAACTCTACCTATATGGTGTCCACTTGTATACCTAATCCTGAATTGTACTCCACTTCTTTAAATAAAATATATATTTTTTAAAAATGAAAACATTTTTTTAAAAATGGCTTTTTAGGCTGGGCACAGTGGCTCACGCCTGTAATCCTAGTACTTTGGGAGGCAAAGGTGAGAGGATTGCCTGAGCTCGGGGGTTTGAGACCAGCCTGGGCAACTTGGTGAGACCTTGTCTCTACAATAAATCAAAAAATTAGCTGGGCGTGTGGGTGCCTGTTGTTCCAGCTACTTGGAAGGCTGGGGTGGAAGGATCACCTGAGCCTAGTAAGTCAAGGCTGCAGTGGCTGTGAGTGTTCCACTGCACCCCAGCCTGGGTGACAGTGAGACTCCAACACACACACACACACACACACACACACAGAGCGAGAGAGGGAGAGAGAGAGAGAGAGAGAGAAAGAGAGAGAGAGAGAACTGACTTTTTAAGGTACCAGACACACAAAGGAGCAGTTGCCACAGGGTTCCTTTCAATACCCAGCTTTCTAAAGGACTACAAAATGTGTTTGGTGTTGGAAAGTTTTCTCTTTGCATAGCTTTACAAAACCATGCACCTGCAGACACAGAACTAAACTAGGACATCTTCAGAGTGCCTTCTAACATTAGGATCTATGATTTTTCCTCAAAGAGGAGACAGTAGTCACTTCAGTGGAGAGATAAAAATATTAGACTAATTTTAAATAAACCAGGTAATAAAAAAATCCTCACTCTCCTTTGCTACCTCACAGTGGGAATGGATAGAGGAAGTTTCCAGAGCAGAGCTACAAATCAGATAAAAATGAGATTCTAATAGAACGTCAAGCTAACTAAAAAAAATGCATATGTGATCATAAAATAGCTAAATAACACTATTTCTATTACTTATGGGTTAAAAAATTTGTGCAACCTGCAATGGTGGCTCAAGCCTGTAATCCCAGCACTTTGGGAGGCCGAGGCGAGAGGATTCCCTGAGCCTAGGGGTTCAAGACCAGCCTGGGCAACTTGGTGAGACCTCGTCTCTATAATAAATCAAAAAATTAACTGGGCATGGTGGCGTGTGCCTGTAGCTCCAGCTACTCGGAAGGCTAAGGCAAAAGGATTGCCTGAGCCCAGCAGGTTGAGGATGCTGTGGTCATGAGCTCCAAAAAAACAAAAACAAAAACAAAACTTGTAGTCTCTCCTGACAACTACTCATAATATTTATTAAAATGGATTTAAAAAAATTTTTTTGAAACTTTCAGAACACAACTGTTTTTTTTTTTTTTTTAGGAAGCAGGGTTTCACTCTGCAGCCCAAGCTGGAGTACAGTGGCATTATCATAGTTCACTGCATCCTGGAACTCTTGGGCTCAAGAGATCCTCCTACTTCAACCTCCCAAGTTGCTAGGACTACGGGCACATGCCACCATGCCCAGCTAAGTTTCAAAAAAAATTTTTTTGTAGTGATGAGGACTCACTATGTTACTTATGCTGTTCTCGATCTCCTGGGCAAGCAATCCTCCAGTCTCAGCCTCTCAAAGTGTTGGGATTACAGGTGGGAGCCACTGTGCCTGGCTCAGAACATAAGATTTCTTTAATGAGAATTTACTTATACTAATGTAACACTTCAGAATGATAAATATTTTCACATTTTCTCCAACATTTAACACATTTTCTAAAATGAATAAACGGTACAATCAGCATATATACTCTCACTCCATAGAGATGTTATGTAAACCATGATTAGTAGTTTTAAATGGTATGCTGTGCAGAGTTCTGGGATTCTGTAAATATTTGATTTGATTTTCTTCAAGTAAGTGCCTTTAAGCTAGGATAATAAGTAACACCGAAGCACAATTGTTTTGCATGCCAAATTTTAATACAATGCAGGGAATTAATTCATTAGCCTATATTGCTAAATTAACTTTCCTGTGGTCCTAGGAATAAAGCTATTTCTGCTATCTCTGTAAAACTAAAATCTCCTAAGGATTAGGGTGAACCTTGTAAAACAAACCAATATAAAATGTTAACACCCGCAGCTACTTATCTGTGTAGTTCAGGTTTTTCAAATACTTCACAAATAAAATAAAGTGGAGTCCAAGGCTCTTTTAAACTAGGTTCTTCTGTTGTTCAAAATGGTCTTTTTTTTTTTTTTGTCACTAGTTAATTCTATAAAGAAGTTTACATTATAAAAGTTAACACTATTCAAACATTACTTTTAAAAAATCTGTTTTACGTATTGGATATCATGTAAGATTGTGTTTGAAAAACATTTCTTCTCCTAGGAAATGAGAGACTGCTGGGAGAGATCATTTTTTTTTTTTGAGTTGGAGTCTCACTCTGTTGCCCAGACTGGAGTGCAGTGGCCGCTTCCGGCCACCGCAGCCTCGACCTGCTGGGCTCCGGCGATCCTTCTGCCTCAGCCTTCCCAGTAGCCGGAATTACAGGCATGCGCTACCAAGCCTGGCTGATTTTTTTTTTTATTTATTGTAGAGATGAGGTCTTGCTGCCCAGGCGGGTCTCGAACCCGCGGGCTCAGGCAATCCACTCACCTCAGCCTCCCAAAGGCATGGGATTATAGGCTGAGCCACTGAGCCCAGCTAGGAGAGATCATTTCTAAGGGTGATTATTAGTTTGATATCTTGGTGATAATATGAAAAATAGTCAAAACAACTTGACATATGTTAAATCTTAAAAGGTCAAATATTGTAAACCAGTTACCCATGAGATAAAACCAAAAAGCTGGCAATTATAGGTACTTGCAGTGTGTGTCACCTTTTTGAGTCCAGTTTAAAAGACAATGCATCAGGCTGGGCACGGTGGCTCAGGCCTTATAATCCCAGCACTTTGGGAAGCCCAGGTGAGAGTATTGCCTGAACCCACGGATTTAAGACCAGTCTAGCCAACTTGGTGAGACCTCATCTCTACCATAAATCAAAAAAATTAGCTGGGTACGGTGGTGTGTGCCTGTAGTTCCAGCTACTTGGATGTTCAAAACGGAAGAAATGCCTGAGCACAGCAGGTTGAGGCTGCGGTGGCCAGGAGCATGCCACTGCCCTCCGACCTGAGCGACAGCATGAGACTCCTACTCAAAAAAAAAAAAAAAAAAAAGACAATGCATCTCTTCCCCACCATGATGCTTATGTTATAGAAATGTCTGAATAGTAGTATAACAAATGAAATATGATGCTGGTTCTAAGATTAAATTGGGCAGTATAAGTTTATGGCAGATGACCAATATTTTTTACTCTTACCAAACTTCTGAAATCTAGTAAAGTCATCAAATTCCATTGTCGCTATTCCAACGCAAGGGGAAATCTAGGGAAATTTCCTCTTGTCAAGTTGCAACAGATCTCAGTTTCTATAACTATGACTTTGTTCATTAAAACCTGAGTTTATTGTCTGTGGTGTGAGACATAAGTAAGGGCTAGCCATCATGAATAAACAAAGACTTTTCAAACACTGCACTGAGGGAGTAACTCCAAGGCAGAGCACAATTTAAAGCCAGGTTATACCAGCAACTACAGGCTAGAAACAAGACACTAAATGTAATAGAATATCTGCTTTTTAACATATTCTTCTTGCAACAGAAATTTAGAGTAAAACTGTGTTATTATTCTCACAGTACTGCTTGGATAAAGGTATCGCTGTTTGTTGTGTCCTCTGGTTTCTCAACCACGAATTTCTTCCTCTTTGCTTTCATAGCAAACCATTTTCTTTAGTACAAGGACAATGGAGAAACATTTCTTGGTAAACCAAAGTTTTAAAGATAGAAGAAAAAGTAATGTAGAGCTAGCTGGTCATCTGACCATCACATGAATTTAATACTGCTTTGGCTTCCCACACCTTTATGCGTTAAGCCATTCCTTAGACATTCGATTTCTAATACAGTAGTTCCCTCCTTATCCTCAGTGGATATGTT